GTTAAAATATATTTTTAATTTAAACTATACATAGCTCTATAACCACTGAGAATCAGACTCACATTCATATGCCATTTTTGAGAATGACTTCAGGAATTAGGTCTGAATTATTGACACCAAGCATATACAACATATATTTTTAGTTAACAAAACATTTTGTTTCATCATTTTGGTAGTGATGCAAGAATAGTCATTTATCAATCTGGTGCCTGACTAGATTTTGATTCTTGAATTCAGAACCTGATTCAGTGAACAGTATATGTAATTGCCTACTGATATATATATAATTAATATTACATTTCCTTTTTAGGGAAATTTATTGAATGGATGAGATGTGATGTGTTTATCAGCAGGTTCTTTAAGGGGGGTGCTCTTTCCTTCCCTTGTACTTCAGATGCTGCAAGAGAAGCTGTTAAAAAAGACACATTACGTGTCACTGAAACTTAGAAGCGCATTGTACATGTCACAATAAACTTTCTCTCTATGCCTTGGCCTATACAGTTCCAAACGGCAGTATAAAACACAATTATTACAGTAAAGTTCCATTTACCTGGCATCCAATCATCCATAATTCTCATTCAGCTAGCAAAAATAATAATAATAAAAAAAACTGTTTTGATACCTTTATTCAAAAACAAATTTCTGAAGTGCATATGTTCACCCACCAAGTGGTTCTTCTCCCAGCTGCAACTAGCAGCGAAATCCATCCCTCATGCAGGTGCTGATACAGTAGAAGATAGCTGAGTCTGTAATTGCATTACAGTGTATGTATCTGAAATCTTTCACCCATCAATCTGATAAGTCACCCAGGAATACTCCCACACAAGAACTGATGTGAAAACGTTTCATTTTGACTTTGTATTTGGTTTCAGTATGAGTTAATTTCATGTAAACCACAGATTCGTGTAAGCAACAAATTGCATTTCCCATACATGCCAGATAAAGGGATGTTTACTTAAATAATGAGCATTAATCTGTTAGAAAGTAAAAATAGTTGCACTTTTCTCAGATAAAAATAATTTTACACTTCTAAAAACTAATAAAATGAACCCAACAGTTAGAAATACAACTCAAACAGCTCTTCAGTTTAATGGAAGGAATGAATATACAGGGTGGGCCAGACTCAGTTAGGCAGTTTTTGATTAGATGTTATTTTTATTGATAGATGTTAACAATTGCAATTGTTACAAAAATGGAATCGCACACACGTCATCAATTTTCAAGATGCTGGTCAACCTGGGCACCACCTAAGTCAACACAGGCTTGCAGACGCAAAGCAACATTTTCACATGCCTTTCTACACATATTCACTGGAACTTTATTGAACTCCTGAACAATCACCTCATGCAGATGTTTCACGCTGTCAATGGGATTAGCGTACACCTTGTCTTTGAGGTAACCCCAAAGGAAAAAGTCTGGTGGGGTGATGTCGGGTGATCAGGCTGGCCACTCCACAGGCCCTCGATGGCCAATCCAGCGTTGAGGAAAAACTTGATGCAAGAACGCCTGAACAATATTGGCGAAGTGTGGTGGGGCCCCATCTTGCTGCCACCACAGTTCATCAAATTTCTCT